TCATGGTTATCATTATTTGATTGCATTTTCTGAATTAAATTATCAATTTTTTTATTTCCACTAGTCCATTTAATAAGATTTTTTTTTAGATTATTTATGTTACATAGCTGGCACCACATCGATCTAGAATATTCGCAACATTTATTACAGTATATATTTTCAAGAACTAAAATATAATCCTTTGTATTTAAATTCTGAGATATTCCATATATTTTAATATTATCACTATAAATATCATTTAAATATGCTTTAATCTATCAAGATAAAAAAAAAATTACTTATTATATATATAATATTTAAATCAAATAATGAAATTCATACCTCATTTATAAATTCATTGGAAATACTTTGTGAATTATATACCTTTAAATTGACTATATTATTTTGTTTTCTTAAATATTTCCATTCACTATTATTGTATTCTAATGGACCATCCTTCCATCTTGCTAAATTATATTGTAATAAGTTTATCTTTTCCTAATTCTTTAATAATATTGAATTGAGTATATGGTATCCACTCAACTACGGTACCATGGTTATTAATATTTAATTGCATTTCTTGAATTAAATTATCAATTTCCTTATTTCCACTAATCCGATTTGTAGATATTTTTCCTGAATCATCAATTTGACATGGTTTACAATATTTAGTATTTTCATATGTAAATTGTCTACCACACTTATCACAAGTTTCGTTTTGAAGGAAAACTAAAATATAATCTTTTGTATCCAATTTTTGAGACATCCCACAAAAACTTTTACTAATTGAGTATGTTTTAATCTATTAAAATAGAAATTTTAAAATTTAATTTCAATATTATGAATCATCCATTGATTGTGAAAAAATAATAAAAATTTATACCTCATTTAGAAATTCATCAATGATATTTTGAGAGTTATGCAAATATTTTAAATTGACTGTTTTATTCTGTTTTCTTAGATAGCTACATTTACTATTATCATAATATAATGGACCATCTTTCCATATAGTTGAATATATTCCATCAGTAAAGTTAACTTTTTCTATATTTTTAAATTGATCATATGGTATCCATTCAACTATAAAATCAGTATAAAAATTAATCCTTAATTGCCTTTCCTGAATTAAATTATCAATTTTTTCATTTCCACTGGTCCAATTTGTAAATTTTTTTTCTAAATCACTAATTTGGCATGATCTACACCATTTTTCAACTGTAAATTTTTTACCACATTTATCACAATGATAACCATTTGGAAAAACTATAATGTAACTTTCTGCATGAGGATTTTGAGATATTCCATATATATTAGGTCCAAATTCACGAACGTTACCAGTAGAATATGCAACGTAAACCTATTAAATAAAAAAATTTTTGTTTACTATATTTATAATGTTTAAGTTAAAAGAAAAATTCATACCTGACTTAAAAATTCATATGTATAATATTTCGAGTTATATGACTTTAAATTGACTTTATTATTCTGTTGTCTTGAATATTCACATTTATTATAATCGTATTGTAATGGACCATTCTTCCATATAGCTGAGTATATTGTAGTAAGTTCATCTTTTCCTAACTCTTTAATATTATTGAACTGATCATATGGTATCCATTCAACTATGTTATTATAATTATTAATTTCTAATTGCGCTTTTTGAATGAAATTATCAATTTGCTCGTTTCCACTCATTCTAATTGTAGAATTTTTTTCTAAATCATTTATTTGACATGATTTGCACCATCCGGAAGGAGCATAATTACCGCATCTTTCACATTTGTAAACACATTCACTATAATATGACATTATATGGTTTAAAAAATTTTCAACGTTTATAGAAATAAAAAAAAATTCAGAAACCAGGAGGAAAGAACCTTGTTGAGATCTGCAAACTGCATTTGTATTTATATTGTTGCAACAATTAAAATATCCGCTTCATCAATGATATCATTTTGTTGAGCGTTTTCTGCAAAAATAGATATTTTTTACGTCAATCATTTGTTGATCATTGTCAAATTTTAAATTCCGGAAAAAAATTTTCCATTGACAATCATTTCTTAATTATCATTGATCTTCTCTAATTCTCTTTCGGTAAAAAAAAAGTCCGTTCAATTTTGTACGACAGACCCTTCATAAAAATAAAATTGTGATGGGACAATGGACAATGAACAATAAATAGAGATTTAAACAAATAAAAAATCATTACGGAAACTTTTTCACTGAAATTTTGCTATTAAATGTTGAATGTTAACAGTTAATAGGTCAATGAATAATAAAATCACATTTTAAAAACGTTGTTAATCGAATTTTTTTCTTTGCTCACACAAACTTTCAGATATTCCAGATCTTATCTAAAGACTTATTAAATGAACCCTATCAAAATCATTATCAAATGTACCCTTTAAAAAAAAAAATATCAAATGGACTCTATTTCTATCAAACAAAAATATCAAATGGACATACAGGATCAAAAAATTATCAAACATACACTATCAAAATTTCGGGTGGATCTGTCGGAGAGATTATCAAATAAGCCTATCAAAAAAAAAAATTATCAAACAAACTGTTAAAAAAATTATTAAATAAAAATAATCAAAATATACTCTGTCAATTTATTTTTGAAACAAAAAAAAAGTAAGTTCCTTAAAGTTTATTTAAAGTTTAAAAGTTTATTTTAGACTGTATATGTACATTCTAAATAAATGAATAGGCTTCGAAAATGTTCATATCATTTTGCAGCAATTTAAATTTAATTACACTGCCAATTCTTTTTTATTTACTATGCTAAAAAATTAAGCTGGCTTCACTGTTGTTATCATATTGTATATGTTTTATAACTGTACTTACATTATACTATAAATATATCTTATTAAATAGTAAACATTAATGTTTTGAAAGAAAAGAAGTTGAAATTATTATTATGAAATTCTAACAAATTTGAAACTATTGAATTTTATTTTTCATTATATAGGAACGAAAGGGTTTAAAAGTTATTTTAACAATTAATATTTTTTTTTATGGATCATATTCATTGTAGTTTTTTGTAGTAAATTTTTTGAAAACTGTAACATTCATAATACACGTATTGGATAATGATTTAACGGTGATTACTTAACCACATAGTAATAAATCACAGATTTCTGCAAAGAAATAAAGAATTTATTTATTTAATAAAAATAATATATTTAAATTTGCGATTTATCATTAATTATTAGCTTCCCGTTATGTTAAATATTTGCTTGTTATTATAAATATAGTTTTTTTTTGCGTCTTACATGGCGCAGCAAATTAATAGTGATCCCGTTTTGGTCAATGATAACATGGCGTGGATAAATAGATTAATAAAGTGACGACTCATTTATTCCGATTTTTTTTTCTTGATATATGTAAATTAATGTTCATTTACGTCTATGACCGATTTATTAATAAACTTATATGTATCGTATGTATTTTAGATTCTACATAGAAATTCATCATCAGATTACTAACATCGAAATTTTTGAATAAAATTCATCCTACCTACAGTACGTATGTAAATCTGAGAAGGATAGATCAAAAAAGTATCAAACCAATTATTTCACAGTAAATATAAATATCGTGATTTTACGCTACCAAATTTATTTGTGTAGCTGATTAGACCGCCAACAAAGACTTTATTTATGGATTTATCAACAATAATTTAGTTGTTTTCTTTACTATAATTAGAATATATTATGGCGGAATGGCTGATGAAATTAATACGAAATTTTTGCATATTAAATTTTTTTTAAAAAATATTAGATAATCTCCATAATTTGATAATTTAGTTCCTCTTATTATAAATGTCGTCTCTTTCAGTAATGATGATACATCTTTTAATTTAAAATCACGATTAATTCCATGATAATGGAATTGCAATTTGCAAGTCGACACTAGTCGACACGTTTTGGTACGAAATCTCGAAAATCATCTGAACGACCGACACAAGACGACAACAAAATCTCGACAATCCAAAATCTTGACAAATCAAAATTCTGACAAATCATTATACTAACAAGTTGATTATCCCGACAATTTCAGAACAAAATTATAAATATTACACATTGCAAAAAATTATTGTATTAGAATCACACATCATTAGATTTACAAATAAAATTGTCGATACAATGACTTGTCGGGATTTTGGATTGTCAAGATTTTGGATTGCCGAGATTTTGTTGTCGATCTTGTGTTAGTCGTGCAAGCTTCTGAATTTTATAATGAAAAACGATCATATAATATTAAAAAAAAAATTATTATAGAAATTTCAAAAAAAATTTGCTACGAAAACTAAAGTAAAATAATCAAAAGGGAGAGCCCGTTTAAAATCCCTACGATCAGAATCCCGTTATAATACCCGACGTTCACAGGAATCCTGACAAATGATATTCCCGACTTAACCTGAATCTTGACACTCATTATCTCGAACTTACTATCCCGATACATTTTTTTTTTTTTTGATTTTATATTATCACTGTTTATAGACTTAATATTTTATTGTAATACTTTACTGTAATATACAATTAGTACTTTTTGCTATTACTTTGCTGAAACCTGCGAAATCAGGACTATGTAGTATCTATATAGCTGCCATTTAATATGGCTATTTATGTTAAATTTGATGCAGCGATATGTTTTTAATACAGAAAATGTGTGGTTAAATTATAGTAATAGTATTTGTTAATATTATTTAATTGATTATATGGTATCCATTCGAATACTATACCATCATGTAAATGATTTTTGATTGTATTTTTCGAATTAGTAGATTGTCAATTTTTTCATTTTCATTAGCACAATCTGTAAAATTCTTTTTAAAATAATTTATTTGGCATAGTTCACATAATACATCAGTTACACCACGTATATATAGTCAATCTTTTGTATATGAATTTTGAGAAATTTCGTATATTTTACGATCTGAATTATTTTTTATCTATTGAAATATATAATAGGTTATTTTTAATAAGTATCTAATTTAAACTTACAGTATAAGTATTTCATAACTCATTAAATTCATTAATAATATTTTGTGAACTACCATAAATAAATTTTAAAGCAACCTTTTCGTCTAAATTCTTATATATTCATTTTTATTATTATCATAATGCAATGAACCTTCCTTCCATAATGTTTAGTATTCTTTAGCAGAACCATCTTCAATTCTTCATCCATTTCTTTAATATTACCATTTGTATTATATTATCAATTGTTGCATTCTTACTATATTGTGTTGAACACCCTTTATAATATATACTTGCATATTGTTGGTTACATTTTATACAATATTCAACTCTAAGAACAAAAATATAATAATTTGTTTCTTGATTTTGAGATATCCCGAATATTTTATTACCCCAAATATTATTTTCAATTGAATAAGATTTGATCTATTAAGTCATAAAAAAAATTAACCATTTTATAGGATCCCGTCCAAAATCCCGAAACTCGAAATCCCGAAGGTACATTATCCCGACACTCTAAATCTGAAATGTCAAAATCCCGACACCCCATAATACTGATAAATTCAAGATTTTCATTTCGGTATTTTGATTTTGAGCTTATTGAAGTGTCAGGCTTATGAAATGTCATAATTATAGTAATGGATCACCTTTCCATATAACCTACTCATACTAATATCATCAAACTGAACTGGCTGTATAGTATGGGTAATCATATTTTAAGGGTGGGAGTTAAGTAAAATCTTACGTGCACAAAATTAATTATTTTTATTGATTATCGCCGTTTTCAAATTAGTGCGATTAAGGAAATAGATTTCCAAAAATTTGCGAAAACCCGGAATTTTCCTGAATAACTATGTGGGAAAAGGTCAATTATTAGCGATTTCTAGAGAAAATCTTGGGAAATTCTCAGTTATAAAAAGATATTTTGCTTATAAAAAAGTGTTTATGTTACACAAAGTTTTATCACTCACTTTATAAGCAAACTATTTGAATAATTGAAAATTTCCCGAGATTTCCTCCGGAAATCACGCGATTTCTTGCGCACGTAATTTCCGATATTGTATGGTGATCCGATGAGATTTCAGTACATTTGTGTACATGTCGATTTCCGATGTTACGAGCCGATTTACGCCGATACATAGTTGTGTATATCAGTTAACTATATTAAAGATATTGATTTTATATGATAAATTTACATATATATCATTATTCAATTTATTCAATTTATTATTATTTATTTATTTATTTATTTTCTTTATTTGTATTATTAATGTGTATACAATTTTATTAGAAGTTAACTATATTAAAGATATTGATTTTATGTGATAAATTTACATATATATCATTATTATATTTATTTAATTTACATATATATCATTATTATATCGCTTTATTCAATTTACATATATATCATTATTATATTTATTCAATTTACATATATATCATTATTATATTTATTCAATTTA